ACTTTCTTCGTTATTAACGATATGGAGTTTTCTTCGTTCTCGATGATATAGAGCTGAGAAATCTTAATTATGAAAGGAATGGTTCGCGTTTATATACTATTCTCAGTACACCTTCGAATTGAGATTTTTCTGTCTGTACTTACAATCTCCTTTCGTTTCTAGATTTTTCTTTTCATTTATTAGGTCTACACTTTCAATTAGTAGTTTCCAATCCATTACTTCGCTGAATTAATTACACTATATCTATCACTTGTTTTTCATAGACCAGGACACTGAGGAGTCCATTTTATCAGTAGATCTTTAATTTTAACATAGTAACAAAATTCGATAATGAAATTTGGCAACAAATCGTAACAAAATTACTATCCAGCCAACTGGTCACAAGTATGGTTAGGGTAAAGAAAAAATCGCATTGACATTACCTAGAAACCCCCCATTGACCGCTTCTTTGCCCGGACTAACAAGCGAAAGATGCAACGCCCGATATAGCCACCGGCGACTGTTAATTAACCGGTGCTGGCCGCATTCATTCCGAGCACGCTGCGAGAGTTCGATAATCGACGAAAGTGAATGGATACAAATGGAGATATTATAATGCAGTTCGAAACTCGTATTTTTCAAGACAATTAATGATGTAGGAATAATGTGAACAGACAAAAGTTGGTTGCATCTAATAATAAGATGCATTATCGAATATTTTCAGGTCTTTTTACGCCTACAAGGTGGCCCGGACTAAAAAACGAACGGGTCTCATGCTTTCACGCGTATTCACGACAATTAATGATGCAGGAATAATGGGAAAAGACAAGTTGGTTGCATCTAATAATAAGATGCATTAGCGAGTATTTTCGGGCCTTCTTACGCAGGACCATGCACTACGTTCGAGATACAACTTAGTAGCTCCATACGAGCAGCCTCGACTTGACTTAGAATCCCTATACGAGTATTATCAGGTCTAATGCTTTCACGCGTATTCACGACAATTAATGATGTAGGAATAATGGGAAGAGACAAGTTGGTTGCATCTAATAATAAGATGCATTAGCGAGTATTTTCGGGCCTTCTTACGCAGGACCATGCACTACGTTCGAGATACAACTTAGTAGCCCCATACGAGCAGCCTCGACTTGACTTAGAATCCCTATACGAGTGTTCTCAGGCCTCGTGCTTTCACACGTACGCTAGGACAATATACCACGTACGATGACCTACTTAACTTACAAGCCCTATAGTTTAACTACTTTCCCATTATATGGGTGTCCGGTATTTCATGATATAGGAATTTTATGCATCACATTATATCTAGTCTACGAGAGTTGGTTTCATACTAATAATAATAATAATCATTTATTCTCCTTCGGATAATACAAGTATTATATAGGAATGGTCAATTTCAATGTCGACAGACTCATGAGTAGAAAAATTCTCCTACACTATAAAAGCATTTTTCAAGTAAAAAACATCTTAGTTTTCGTTTGAACAGGGAAATGGATACAATATTTTTTGAAACATTTGGTGGATGGTTGAACATTTTTGGTCCTATATGGTTTGGAGCAGCAGAAGTTATTTTAAATTTGGCATATAGTATATGAAATAAGTATTATGAATATTCTTATTACCTACAAAATTATGTTTTGAAATACATATACGCATGTTTCATGAATTAAAATGCATGGAAATGGTAGAATTTCATACTGAACAAACAGATTCTTACATGATGATTGCCTCCTTGACACCCCACCTATACAGCTAATAATGAGTTCTTGGATGAACACAATTCCGCCATTCTGGACCAACATACCTCAGTCTGGAATCCACCTGAGCATGATATAAAGTCAATTAATGTTATTTCTTCATGCACAAAACGTAGATTCGTGAAAAGATATGTTAGGGCACACAATCTCGAAATTAACTGAGAACTTGAGGTTTCCAATCGAATCGAAGTGGTTCAATAGCATTCTGGCGATGGTGAAATCGTAAAGTTTGCGTCTTATCAACGGTAAAAAATGAATCGTTATCGTTGAAGTCATGGGTAACGAATCAGGTGCATAAGCAGTATACTCCATTGTGTCAAGAACAGAGTCTATTTTATTGACGTATGATATATCAAATAGTATTGGTCCTGAAATGGACCCTTGGGGTACACCCATATCAGTAAAAATAGATTTTGAGGCAATCTTTGACATTCCATCATCATGAGATTGTAGCAAAAAGACGAATCGTTTGGGATTTTTCAGAAAAGAAGATATCCGATTTAAGGACAGCCCCCTTATACCATAGTTTTCGAGAGACGATAGTAGCTTTGTGTGGTTAACGCAGTCGAACGGCCTTCTTAGATCGCAAAATATACAGAACAGAACAGAAGTTTGGCAAGACGCCTCCTCTGCTTGTCGTCTGCAATCTAACAACAGCAATCTCTCTCTGCTGGATCTCCCTTGAATTCTTATCAATCCAATCCGTTTCATTGACACACCCGGTGTGGCAAAAATGTACCTCCTCAGAGCGGGAACGCTGTGTAGGCATGTTATTTCCACTAGTGGGTTTTCTGGCTTCAAACTGAAGATGGAAATGGAAGTGAACGACATTGTAAAATGGTACCTGGCAGATTGTGAAATGTGAACTGTGGTTCTTTTTTCTTCGTAGACACATGTCCGGTATTTTGGAATGCATTTACCTAAGCAAAAATCTGATTTCGATAATAAACCTCAAACGGAAGGCACGATACACACGGACGTTGAGCGGACGTTTGACCAATAAGTTACCAAATGGATAACTTCATTATACAAACAGAAACCGTTCGAAACACTCTGGGACCATACTTTCTCAGACTTAAGATCCAATCATTTGGAATATCGTTCTTTTCGTCTCGACAGTCTATCAGGATTTCCGCTGCAAATAAGTTTTATCAAGGTTTCGAGGGTATGACATCGCTTGACATGTTCACTACAAGGTCTGCAGTCAAATTGAATAGTACCTCGCATCCTCTCAATGTATTCTTAGACACTTTTCACATCGTGGTCACATCTCCGGTATCCTGAAATGCATTAATTCAAGCAGAAATTCGATTTTGATAAGGTATTCTGCCGCGTAGATCGATATTGGACCTTAGATAGATAGATAGATAGATATTTTATTTGTCTTTTAGGTGCATTCATAAGAATACAAATAAGATACGTCACATATACATAAGTTATGAATATTACAAAAACTAGTGGCTAAGACTAGAGATTTACAGATGAAGTTAAAAATTAAAAATTAAAAACTAAAAAAAAAAGTGTGCATACAAACATACGAGAACAATATGATGTATAATCAATGATAAAAACTGAGTAAAATGTAGTGTGAAAAGTAATTTATAAAAGATAATGCACCAGGAATAATATACCCCATGGTTATTTATTTTGTTGTGGATGTTAGGGCCGCTATATATTCTCCAGTAGTATAAAATACATTGGAGGTCAAATATGAGTGCATGTGTTTTTTGAAACTTTTGACACTCAGAGCTTTGACGTAAGTGGGTAGTATATTGTAAAGATTTACATTGAGAGAGTTTCTACTTGATTTTTGTAATCTGAATTTAGATGGTCTTATCAATTGAGAGCCTCTAGTGTTGTAAGTATGGAAATCAGCATTCTTTTCATGATTATTCTTGTTTTTATGTATTTCTAAAATAGATTGATAGATATATATGGATGGTAAAGTCATGATACTGAGTTCCAGGAAAAGTGGTCTACAGGAATCGGTAAACCCTGACCCACAGATTATCCTCACTGATTTTTTTTGTAACAAGAAAACTTCGTTAGCTTTCACGCTATTTCCCCACAGTAATATACCATATGAGATTCGTGAATGAAAGAAAGCATAATAAGCTGATAATAGAACCTGCAAACTAATGATAGTCTTCAGTTTACGGAGTAAAAATAAGTATTTTGAAATATTTGTACACAGCTGCTCTGTGTGACCTGACCAGTTTAATCTGTCGTCCAGTGTAACACCTAACAGTTTGACGGTATCACCAAATGCTGTTGTTCATAGAAAATAATATATGTTGTGTTTTACTTTTATTCAATTTAAGATTATTACTTTTAAACCAAGTTTCCGCTTTAGCTTGAGCCAGATTTATATTTGCTAACGAACCAATTGTATTTTCACTGGAGCTGGTGAGAGTTGTATCGTCCGCAACCGCAATACATCCATAAGGGCACATATATGAAAATAGGTCATTTACATAGATAATGAATAGGAGAGGGCCTAGTACAGAGCCTTGTGGAACCCCACATGCTATTAATTCAAAATCAGATACGTTATTTGAGTCTATTACAACACATTGTTGTCTATTTGTTAAATAGGATGAAAAAAGGGAGAGGGGTACTCCTCTTATACCATACTCCTCGAGTTTTCTGCCTTACACGGAAGGCACGATGCACACGGATGTTGGGTGCCTGTTTGATATATAGGTTTTTGAACAGACACTATGGTATCAATCAATCAATCAAAATATGCTTTATTGTCCGAAGATTTATATCTCATTGACAAAGTCGTAAAAATTTTTACATATATAAAAATATAAAGTAGGTACACATAAAATCAAATATATACATATGAATAAACTAACAAGCTGACGGTAGTGACTGAAACCATTTTTTCTCAATCATCTAGGATATACCCATATGAAATTTCAACCCAATAGGTTCAGTCGTTTAGAAGTTATGTGAAGAAGATAAGTACGAAAGGATAATAGTTACTTCCCGTTGTCCTATCACCCATTTTTTTGTTGGAATGAAGCATTTTTTTGCAGTGAGAAGTAGCCTATGTAAATCAGGGAGAATGTCGGCTCCTAATGTTCAAATCGGTCCAGTAGTTTTGGAGCCTATTCAATACAAACAAACAAATGAACAATCAAATCTTTTCTATTTATATTAGTGAAGATATATCTCGACAAAAACTTCGATATTTGCAATTGAAACTTGAGAAATATATGATCGTATTTTTTTTTTCAGGTGAGCGCTTGGGTGACACATCTAATTATCACCCAACCCACCCATGATGCACGTAGAGCCGTTCTCTCTTGCGTTCTGCGAGTTGCCTTGTCTTCCTGGAACATTGGAAACTTCAATGGTGCCATGGAGATCATCGCTGGCCTTAAGTAAGTTTCCATATCACGAATCTTGTATGCTACTCATTACAGTTAGATTAGATTAGATTTAGAATGGGGCCTTTCGCCTATCTGCCTCCACAACGTGACTACTTCAGATCGATTGTGTCTGCACTCGAAATGGTTGAAAGTTTTTTGGCTAGCTCCGCCTTCTCTATGAGACTCCATAGGCTCGCTTTTAGATCCTTCGTATATCTTTGGGCCTTTGGTTTCTCCTCACCCATCTAAAGGAACCTTAGTCTTGAGAAGCCCTCAAAATGGCGGAGTATGTGTTATGCTACTGCACAGCAGGTATTCCGCCAGACCTTGTGCGCATGTGTTTGTTGAGCTGACAATGTCCTGTTAGTTGAACTTCGTTTCTTGTTCAGTAGATATTCTGTGACTGTTGACGATGGTTTCTCAATTAACTCCATTGCCTATCTCATTCCTGGCCAGTTTTTTCACCATTCCTGGTATTTGTTTACAGCAGCGTTCTGAACCATCCAGAGCTTCACTTGCTCTGGCTCGGGCAAGTGAGCTTGTCTCTTCGTTGTCCTATGCCCTTTATATGTACTGGTTCCTTCAGCGTTCCCGAGCAGACTAAGACTAGTTTCGAGTGACTTAAAAGTGACCAAATTGTCTGATTTGTGGATAGCCTAAGATTCTTCTCTTCGTTGAACTTTCTCATTCGCCTGAATTGCTTTCTTTTTTTCCTTGCGACAACCTCTTGTCACCTCGTTACTACCATTGGAGCAAACGAATGATGCAAGAATGCCAGATATTCGAAGATTAATTAGGAAGAAGAATAATTTTATGGATACACTGTTTACGTTGCAATTGTTGTTTCAAAAAATTCGATCAAAAAACATGATTCTATTTGCCGTGCCAGCTCTGATGACGATACTACTCACAGTCGATTACATAATATCTCCCTTTTCCAATAACACTCGGCACCTATATTTCGTTTCACATATTTGTATGTACATGTACATGTAGAAAATATGCATGCATGTGACGAGATGATGCTTTGCTAAATACGTGATGACTATATACAGATTATTCAACGGGTAATTATGACAGTTGGCAAAAAGTTGGAAAAAAGGTTCGAACATTGGCAGTGTGCATATTGAATTTTGGTGGACCAAACACGGTGATTTTATTTTGTGAAAAACTGTACTCCAATCACTGCATTAACCAGATTTGACACACTTTAGAACAATAATTGGAGTAAGTGAATTGCTCTCCATAAAGCGTATAAAACTAGGTATACAGTGTGTCCATTTAGTGCGTAATTCTTCGATATCTCGAAATCAATTATCACAAGAGAAAAACTTTGGGGAAAAAACTTCTTCAGTTACTAAAGTTCCTCATTGCGAAAATATTTTCAACACTACTGGGTGTTTTATGAAAGCGGGGCAACTCGAAGACGAGTTTTTTCAAATGGAACACCCAGTATTGTTCATTCGAAATTTATTCCGCTCAAGTTCAGCTATACATCGCTGTAAAAAAAATGAATTTGGTTGCGGCGTTGCCAAGTTATAATTGATAAACCCATTTTTACAACTATTGAAGGGTCATGTTCAATTGGGTATGGTGTATTTATTTATTGACATTTCGAAAATTTTTTGGCATACAGTAGTAGCAAGGTCTCACGTATACCAATTCAGTGATCTTGCGAGATAATCCTCTACAGGGTGCTAAAATTTACATTCTGAATATTGTAAGATTCAGACGACGATCATAAGAATTTTTCAAATGGAACACCCTCTATTTTTCATCACGGATTAATTTCGAAATAATTCGCATTTTCATCGCAGAATGAAAAATCAAGATCGGCGGCGTTTTGAGTAATTTTCTTATTTTTACTACTATTTCGGGGTAGTTTGTACGTCATGATGGTTCTTCAATTTGATTTGGGTGTGGGAATATTGCTTGCCACATGACATTCTAAGTTCTACATAGATCATCCAGGTATTTTTGTGATATGTGCATCGTCCAAATTTGAAATATTCCGTAATCTTGTTACTTATGATTCAAATAATATGTGAAACAAACAAACATGCCAAAAGCAACGCCTGTTTTCGAAATAACTTCTACAATACAAACAATGAAGATACAAATTGCGAAAATTAGGAAAATTTTTCGAAATTTGGGCCATTTTTATTGTCATTATTTCCATAATCCAAATCTCTATTTAACTTGAAGAAGGTAAACATAATGATACAAACAATATGTCTCTACTACGCGGCTTTTGGGAGGGAATTCAGCAAAATGTCGAATCAATCCAAGATATATTTGATTGTGGCGATGTTTGACAGGTCATCACACAAATATATCGAAAAAAATTCAATCTTGGAGAGCCTGTTTGTGAAAAAATATATGAATGGCACTAGTGCTGAAAGTGATTTATTTTTATGAGAAAAAATATGTAAACATAATTCAACATGAAGTGTTAATACAATTAAAAGTACAATTAGCGCAACTATGATCATAATACGAAACTCCTGGTAGATGTGACAGAATTTATTTTCGTGAAGCTTGTACCAGGGCAGAGAGCAATATTATCTGCCGAAGTTTTCGACAGAATTTGATCTGCAATGTTCTGTTTCCTTTGTAGCGAGTCTTCTATATGACCCTCTGCTACTGTACTGGACTTCCATCCACCATGTCTTTTAATTGTAGTAAGACTAGCACCAGAGTCTGCCAACAAACTAGCTGAGGAACGTCGGAAACAATGTCCAGTATATAGATGGGAATCAGGCAAATTAAGAAATTCGGCAAGTTTGGCAGGCATCTTACCGAATGTTCTGATTCCAACTGGAGTCCTGGCACATTTATTTTTAATGCATTTTATAAAAACTATACAATGATTAATTGATATCAAGTGGACGAATGGCTATGTACTCTTTGTAGTAGTTCATATACAATGTACCACTTACAACAAAGGTGCGTTGCACATTAGTTTTTGTGTCTGGTATATGCACATCTAGTGAAGTTCCGGAATCCTCGATATTATTCATTGTTAAATCGCACAGTTACTCTCGACGATAGGCTCCAAAAACAGCGAAAATGGCAGCAACTTTATGCATTAGATATATTTCATCTGGGGCTTCTGCAAGAAATTCGTCGATTTGTTCTCTTGTCAATACTTTTGACTTTTCGGTCGATATCCTCCATCCTTTCGCTTCAAAAAAGCCACAAGCTTGTGATATCTGCTTATGTCATGATCATTTATGTTCATCATCGACTTTAACATAGAGTAATTCGACCAAAGCGTTGACGATTTCCATATTTTGGACTTTTCTTCAAAGTATGCAAGAAGCACTTTTTCACTGGCCTCCTTTCCACTGACATTTTACTGTACCTTGGTAACTTGTTTCATGAATAGATTTGATTGAATTTGATTCAAAACTGATAATCTCGAGGCTGTTATTTAATCAATCAATAAGTAATGTAAAATAGTTTTGCGTTAAATTGGACTTTTAATGGTGTTTGTAGAAAAAATAGTGTATGATATATGTGCTAAAAGTGTTTTTTCTTTCGTTCGAAGGGATGGAACTTCCCTTCTCACAAAATAAAATGTCACTTTTAGCACTTATATCATAAATAACTATTATAACACTTGTTACATAATATACTATTGTCATGATGATGTCGATTCAAAAAATCAGTGGTTTCCTCTATTAAGACGATATATAAGGCAAGTCATAGGTAATTCAGATCACTAAGAACCCTTCCCTTCTTTGTGCATAAATGTTCCAACATACGAGAAAAGCTTTCCAAGTGAACTTCGTGGGACCTATTGAGTAACCGCATGTAACGTTATCCACTCTGATAATTCCGGCCTTATTTCCACTGATGATAAGTTGAAACCGTTTTCAATCCACTAATGCGAACATCTTCGTCCGATTGATATAAAATATCCTTTGAAGATCCCAGCCATCGATACCATTACAATATTCGGCTCAGTTAAAGGAAAAAAACCTTACTCGTATTCCACGTATAGGAAAGAGCGTAGAAGGAAAAAGTGGTAATCCATCTTGTCGATATAGTAATATTCTCCTCGCAAGACGACATTCATATCTTCATGTATTTTTTGTTGCAACTTAAATGCGAGAGCTGGGTAACTTGATAGTATGGCTACATGCACCCAAGGTTATTATCTGTAAGATTTATGTATACTCCTGAAGTGAGATTTTGAATGCAACTTACCCAAGTAGTGATTATACTGGGTGGTTAATTTTTCTTTCAAAAAGTTGAGTAGTGTGCGAAAGATGATTTAGAAATAGTTTTTTCAGAGTGGTATGGGTAATCAGAAGTTTATCTGTACTAGATTGATATAGGTAGGTCCTCGATGAGTTTTAGCCACTTACTATATAGGCATCCGCTTGATAGCAATCGAGAATATGCCTTTGTCCAAAATTTGCCATAACGAGAAGCTATACAGGGTGTTCAAAATAAGAATATAATATGCGAATTGTCCACTTTAACGGCGTAAGAGCATCTCGATTTTTTGATTTCACTTATTTCTTTATACGGGCACCGAGTATTGAATCGAACAATGTTCTTTTGATTTGACTGCGTACAATTACTACGCAGTTTGAGACCTTTGGATTTGGATTGTCAATAATACAATGCGTGCTCCATCGTCTATTTGGTGATCTATACTTTGAATTTTTTTCACGATATTCTCGATGCTCTGTATCCTTCCATTTTATATAAGTTCCTTCTGCATGACGAGAACGCAAACTGCCTTGTAATCAATCATACTCTTTCATTGCCTTCAGTAAAGACGTTAACTGTAGTATTTCAATTATAAATCAATCGACCTATACAGAGTGTATCTAAATAACGCCGAAAAAATTCGAGGAGTGATTTCTTGTGATATTCTAGCAAATAAAGTTTATATAAACATGTGTCCTAACCTGCTCCGTTTTTGAGATACAGGATGTTGAAGTTAGAAGTATCAATTGTTTTTAATTCTTACCCCGCTGTATTAGTTTCCATGGTGC